TACATGTATATCGTGTTGCAAACACTACAATCTAACACCAACTACATGTATATCATGTTACAAACACTACAATCTAACACCAACTACATGTATATCATGTTACAAACACTACAATCTAACACTAACTACATGTATATCGTGTTACAAACACTACAATCTAACACCAACTACATGTATATCATGTTCCAAACACTACAATCTAACACCAACTACATGCACGTCATGTTATAAACACTACAATGTAACACCAACTACATGTATATCATGTTACAAACACTACAATCTAACACCAACTACATGCATGTCATGTTACAAACACTACAATGTAACACCAACTACATGCACGTCATGTTATAAACACTACAATGTAACACCAACTACGTGTATATCGAGTTACAAACACTACAATCTAACACCAACTACGTGTATATCATGTTACAAACACTACAATGTAACACCAACTACATGTATATCATGTTACAAACACTACAATCTAACACCAACTACGTGTATATCGAGTTACAAACACTACAATCTAACTGGTCAATGTTCCCTCTAATTTTTTCAATCAATGTGCGGAATGAATTTTTTAATGTGCACCAGTATCAAGGCAATGTGCGAGTGTGTGCTACCAGTATTTTTTTTTGGGGGGGGGGGATATTTTTAGACCATCAACTCTATTTAATTATTAGGCCGCTTTGCAGTGCTAACAGTTGGTTATTTGGGCTTTAGGCCTATCGACTGCCAGGGTCATTAAGGTCGTCAACATGTTTAGACTTCTCACAATTACTGAGGATGTGCGCGGCACAGCCTAGAGGGAACACTGGTTCTGATACTAAGATGAGAACTATGTGTTGGGGTACCTTGTCAAGACTCGTATCACATGTTAGGGGAATTTTCTATGTAAATATTGTAACTTAATTTGAAAAGGTAGCTTCTAACAACCTTTTTGTTTTTTAAATCAGTAATTTAACTGCGTTAACATATGTTTTAGATAATTTTTAAATTTTGTTTTTGCAGGTTTTCTTTGATCTCATGAGGGACATCAGTAACCGAAAACTGTCTGAAAGGAAGACAAACGATGGCTCAAAGAGGTCAGGGCAACAGAAGAAATGTAACATTTTGTAAACACATCTGTGCTCTGCTGCGGGTGTTTACATCGTAAGGCAGTCGGTCTGTTGGGGGTATTTAATTTTTACGGAAATTTTAGAGAAAATGCAAATATTTTGTGACAAAATTCTATTCTTGCTTCTAGGATTTTATTTCATTCTAGCAAAGATGTATAACATTCGTTAACGTTTCGTTTTGATAACGTTTCAAAATGGTTTATTAAGGTAACGTTGTAGAAAGTGACAATAAGAATTAACTTAACATATTCCCTTATCAACTACGTATAATTGTTAAGTAACGTAAAATTCAAATATTTTAGGTTTTTACAATATATATTGTTTTCCTTAGAAGAATACATTTTATCCAATTGTTAGTAAATAGGATTTGGAGATTTGGTCGAATGTGATGAAAAAAAAGATCAGTATTACTCTGAAGTTATTGGTAATTAAATGTTTGTTTGTATTTAAGCACAAAGCTACACAATGGGCTATCTGTGCTGTGCCCACCACTAGTATCGAAATTCGGCTTTTAGCGTTGTAAGTCCGCAGACATGCCACTGGGAGGCGCTGGTACTTGTAAAATTTTCATTTGTTTGTTTTGAATTTCGCTCAAAGCTACACGAGGGCTATCTACGCTAACCGTCCATAATTTAGCAGTGAAGGACTAGAGGAAAGGCAGCTAGTCATCACTACCCACCGCCAACTCTTTTTACCAACGGATTGTGGGATTGACTGTAACATTATTACGCCCCCACGGCTGAGAGGGCGAGCATGTTTGGTGGGACGGGGATTCGAACCCGCGACCCTCAGATTGCTTGTGTAGCTTTACGCAAATTTCCGAAACAAATGAATCTTTTTGACCTTCGAAGATTCGGAACACACCGAAAGAAGATTTTCGACCATCAATAATACTGATTTGCACAATTTACTCATGACGTCACTATAACTGTAGTATATTCATAAATAATACGCTTGCGTTTGTCTGTCCGGATCCTTTCTCGCAAATTTTTCGATCAAACGCTACAAATTTCATATCGTTAGAAAGGCCTTTGTCTGAGGAGTCCGGATTACACATTGGCTTTTTCATTCAGAATAGTCTTACCTGTTTTTTGCTTAGTCAAACGTTTTAATGCGACGAGTATGCTACATGATGGCACAATGTCACTCTCATTATGTGACCACTTCTATGTGCTTTCTCGACATATTTAAATCTAAAATACGCATGCGCAGTTCGTTCAAAACCATAAGTTTATCACTTTGTGAACACACATTCAGAGGTTTCTGCATATTCAGTTAAGTTTGCCTTCATTACAACTTATATTTACTTTGAGATGATTTAGCTTCCGTTCGTTAAATAGACTGCTATAAACACATTTTAGCTACTTTTTTTCTGTAGTACGGGTTTTATTCTTCGTTTTTGTGAGTTTCTTTGTTTCAATTCTTAAACTCGTGTCATACACTAAACGCTCATAATTGTTTCATACTCGTACACTATTATAAATACCACTACTATACTTTATTGTTTACTTTACGCGTAGTTTTGTTAAATAAAATTTCGTCTACGTGAGTTTGTTTATTTGTCAGTGTAAATTTTTTGAAAGAGACCAGGATTTTTTTCGATGTAACACCTGCAAGAAAGCGTAGCTTAATTGCCGTGCGTGTAAATGATAGAATAAGGAAAATTCAAGCGAAGGGCATGAAAACTAACGCAAATGTTTTGCGGGTCGCAGCTAATATTTATATTATATTTGATTGAAAACCGTTTTAGTTTGCAGGTAATCCATATAAGTGAAATAAAACATTCACATGAAGTTTTAAAACTACCTTATATAGAACAGTAATCATGCTTAAAAAAATACACGTTGTTTAATATTATGTATACATTTTTGATATTACGTGCAACACTCATATAATTTGTATTGCAAAGGCACCTATTGTTGCCAATTAAAAAAAATATTGATTAATTAAACAGCAAAACAGGACAAATCAACACTAACATTTCGATTAGAAAATAAATGCAGACCTTCAACTACAAAAATAAGTTACAAAAGAGTGTTATTTAATGGGCGTGTGGGCAGCCCGTGGGCTTAGTCGTTGGGTTCGATTATACAATTGTTACAAAGTAATGTATTTGGATTTTGGGTCGCGCTGTCCTAAACGGAGCACACAAGCCACCAACGTGAGGAAATTTATGTGGGGGAATAAAGACCTCACACCAGAGACAACTGAATACAAATCAAATAACTTCTATATTTAGACACTGTTGACCAGTTGATTTATATTAAAACTCTCCAGGTTGTTTAGTGATAACACAACTGCTAAATCATTGAGTTCCTCACATTGAAAGTCCAGATGTTCGTTAACAAGCCTTTCTGTTCATTCAACAACATCAGTTATCAATTACGTTAACATGAGAAATTCTCTCCGTTATAATCTGTATGACTGTATTAACAATTCTTTTAAGATATATTTAAGTAATTCAACTTTAAGCATTACCATTTCCTTAGTAAGCTTCACTTTTCTCTCTCTATACATTTTCGAACCTTAAATGAAACATAATTACAAGGAGTTTGTGCAAGGAACTTCTTGAAGATTCTGGATCACTGCCATCTTCCGTCATCTGGAAGCAACTTCTTACGTGTGAAGAAGTCAACAAAATCAGAGAAGTGCCGTTTAGAGTCGGAAACACGGAATTATATAAACAATTTTTAGTGTTTTTCCGATTGTTCAATAAGTTAGGAGATCTACTTTCAAAAGTATTAGATCGTCAAGAAATTAATGTCGTGTTTTGGAACACTTTCATTAACCACCTCCAAAAAATGTACATCATGTATAATAGTTAAACGAATCGCCTAAACGTCACGTTAGTGTAGTCTATATAATTTGTAAAGTTTAGTATACTCTAATCCCTTATAGTGATGGCACACATTCGGCATGTAATGCTGTTTGAATACAAGGGAAACAATGTCTCTGTAGCCACAAAGAATATCAAAGAAGTTTATGAAAATATTTTGAATGTTTGTAAGTGTCAACGATGGTTCGGGAAATTTATTTCAGTTGGAATTGATATTGATGCTCTGAAGACGATTGTTGAGTCTAACCCAAG